CAGTTCTACATCCATCCAGGTGTCTCAGTCTGAACACTGGACCTGGTTCTGTTGCTGCTGATATGAGCCTGGAAAGTTTACCCAGAAGTCACTTTGTAAAGGTTCCTCTGGTGACTGATCAGAACCAGAACCACGTCCAGGGTACCACTGATTGTTTCTATGACTCTATGTCACAGACATTAACCTGGTACCACTATGATCCATCCCATAACACTGATGCTACCAGCTGCTGACAGAGGACATGAACAGAACCAGGTGTTCTGGAGGAACTTTATCAGGTTCGGTTGGTTCTGAGGTTCTCACAGCAGTACTTAGTCAGTGTGGATCAGAGCCGAGGTTCTCTGGAACATCGACTCCTCGCAGGAATCCGGCAAGCTGCCTGCAGCTTGATTGGTCCATCAGCGCCGGTGCTGCTGGGCTTCAGCACGAGGCCTCCAGGGAGGCCATTGTGACTGTGAGTGTTTTCGATATGGTCAATGGTGTCTCTGCTGGCGGAGAAATAACAAGCCATAACCAAACGATTAGGGAGGAAACTACGCTGTGTATTGCTCACATTTCCAATGTTAATCAGCTGGGGAGCAGCTGCCATTGTGATGTTATGGCTCGGCACCTGCAGGGGAATAGAGAAGCTTTTCTCTGCAATTTATGGATTTTGAAGATGCCAATTCCTTCAAGCCAAATGCTTGAGATAAACACAGGGAGCGAAGAGGCTGTTCAGAGTCCAGGACATGTCATTGTCCTCCTGGCTGAGTTCTGAGTCCACTATCGTTGCTCTTACATCAGATTCATTTAGTCTTAACGGAGTTCGGTCCAACTCTGTCCCGTCTGTTCACCTCCTCAGAGCCTCGTCCATAAAGCTGTGGCTGCATACAAACAGCTGAAATCTAAACATGGGTTTGCACACTCACTGAGGTTCTCGTTTCAACATAAAGTCCTGCAGCTCTGTGGAGCCAGAACCTGAAGGAGGAGGCAGAACTCAGAGACGTCTTCTGTCAGCAGAACTCAGAACCATGGAGACCAGAGAGAAGGAACATCCTGGGATCAGTTATTTACAACAATGCTTGTAATTTATTTTATTTTTTTAAACTAGGATCAAAATGTCCAACTTTGGTTTTTTTATTTTCACTAAGACTAAAAAACAAACTGATCTTCTGGTTGTTTTTCTCCACAAAACCAAAAGTCACGGATGAATTGCGTCACTTCTCATTTTGCTGATTTGAAGAAACAGAATGTGTGTTCACGTTATCAGCACTGAAGACGAACAAACCCTCTGCTGTGTTTCTGTTTGACGGCGGCCGGTCAGAACCTCGCCCTCCTCGGACCTGCTGTGCTGCAGCTCCTCTCTGCTGCTGAGGATCATCACCACACGGTGACGTCTCAGCTGACCAAAGCAGCGCCCACAGCACCAGCAACTTTGTTTTGCAGGCGTCATCACTTCACATTTCTGCACAGATCACCAACTTTGTGATTGTTAGTAATCGCGGCTGGCGGCGGCCGAGCGTCCTGATGTGTCGCTGGGAGACAGGAGCCGAGGAGTCGGGGCTAAATCCTTTAACTGGATTTAGCTGCTGTTCGCCACCACCAGCGGCCTGCCGGCCACCGTGAAGCTGCTCGCTGTGACACCACTAATCCCAGGCCACGGGCTGCTGCAGGTCACATGACAGGAGCTACCAACCGGGAAGGAGTCAGAGCCGGCGGTCAGCGTGAGGAGCTGCAGACACCTGACAGGTGAGACGCCTCCTCCTGGACCAGAACTACCGGACCGACACCAGAGCAGCTGAGTTTAGGCTCAGTGACCAAAGAGATTCATGAGTTCAAACAATCAGGAGAAAAAAAGTTTTTATTAAAGCTGGAAAAACTGCTGCTGAATTCATTTAACCCTCTGAACTCACATTTTAACTCACTGAGCTTCATGTTTCATCTGTGGAACCAGAACAACATGGAGAAGGAGAGGGAACTCAGAGACGTCTTCTGTCAGCAGAACCATGGAGACCAGAGAGAAAGAAATAAACCCTAGAACCTATCCAACATGTTTCCTCAGATGTTAAACCCTGGAGCTCATGTCGTCTCCTCGTCCTGCAGATGTTGAACTATCTCC